AAAAGAAATACAACCTTTCTTGCACAGTTGACTATCTGAACTACAATTCCTTCTTATCTCATGTACCATTTTGCTACATACTGATTGTATGTGAAGCTGAAGAAATACAATCTTTAAAAATTGAAATATCTATAGTACTTGCGGGAGCAAAACCCCTCAGAGTAAGAGGACACCCCAACAAGATTACGCCTTATCTTTCCATTCAGGGTGAAGCAAAAAAAGTGCCTAGGTGACCTGTTGGAGGAGCTAAGATCTACTCAAATACACGCATAGTTTGCAGCCAGAAGCATAGAAGCCTATAATGGTAGAGGAAACTCATGCCATCCACATGTGATAATCAACCTAGCCTTTCATAGAATAAATACAAACAACTAAGAGAAGCCAGGTATTTAAAAATGAACACAAAAGAGAAAGACCTAAATAAATAAAGAACCAGGGATTCTGGAGATAACATGATCATTCCAATATGAGAAGTGATCTTTAAAATAATTCTTATAATCTGAGATTGTTGAACATATCCATTTATAAACTAGACCAGGGCCAGGGATATAGCTCAGTGGCACAAGTGCCTGCCTGGCAAGTGCAGGATCCTGAGTTCAATTCCCGGTACCAAAAAAATTTTAAAAACTAGACCAAAATAATATACCAAAGCAAATACTAAAATAAGTATGAGCTTATGAAAATTAAGAATAAAATTACCAACACAAAGAGAAAATTCAGTAGTTTAACTGGAAAATATGAAGATGTACCCCAGAATAAAAAAAAATAAAACCAATATGTGAAAAATATTAGAGAAAGATTAAGACTAGAGTATAAATAGAACTGGTCCAACATCCATTGAGAAGTAGCTTTAATGACAGAGATCAAAGGCAGTGAAGGAAAAGAAAAATCATGTAACAGGTAGTCTCTGGAGCGAGACTCTTCAGATAAAAGGGTTCAGTAAATGTGGCTTGGGACAAATTAAAACAACAACCTATAAATATACGTTCATTAAAATCAGAGCATCGGAGCATGTTCTCTTTCTAAGTCATTTCCCTGGATACTGGGCTTTTCTTTGATTTCTAAATTATGTGGACGCAATCGCTCAATGTTTTGCTTCTTCTTTTTGTCTTCTCTGTGCCTCATTCCTCACCAAATGATATTGCATGGGCTCATCACTTGAGATGTCACCTATATTTTGATAATTTCCAGATTTCTAACTCTATTTTCAACTTCTCCCCCAAATCGCTGGTATCAAATTGCTCTCACTTCTGTAATCTAAGAGAATTTCTAATATATGACCAAAATAGGATTTTATTTCCCCACTCCATAGTCCACACTGCCCTTCTTGCAATCGTCCCATCCCAGTAAGCAGCAACACTATTTATTCCGTTGCTCAACCACAGAACTGTAAATCACATTTGACTCCTTTCTTCCTCCTGTGCATCCAGTCCGTCAGCCAGACTAGCATCAAACATGAACTTGCAATAAAATTGGGTCCAAAAAGAATAGTGATTCCTTAAGACAGTGATGAAGTTGCGCTTTTCTCTCTCATACTCTGTATTAATTACAGCTCTCATCTAAAACAATACTGTTTTAAGAACATGGGAGTGCATCTCACTGTCTATGGTATAAAACTAGTGTATGCTACAGCAAATGAAACTTACATGATATTTTAAATGTTGAACATTGGTTTTAAATTTCAAATCATCAAAGCATGAAAGATATTTAGTAAATGACATGTAAATTCTGTAAACCTTGAAAATATAAAAGTGATGAAAAACAAAAGATAAATACAGAAGAAAATATATGCGGAAAACCCCCCACTCTTGCAAAATAGGAAATCATAGGCATTTTCAAAAATTGATGGATCACAATTTTGATCGATTAGAATTTTTAAGAAGGTAAGTAATAATAGAATTTTTGGTATTCAGCATTCATTATTATGGCATATAGTACCACTATAATAATTAAATTAACAAATTTACAAAGGTATAGATAATAAATCAAATAATCACATCAATTCAAGTTATACATCTTGTTTTTCACAGCTATTTGGACAAGATTTTATAAGGAGACACCAAGTTTTGTTTTCATGTTGCTCAGCACCATCAAGATCACAAATACTGATCTAGAATACTGTAGTGCAGTTCTTATTTTTAATCTATTACATCAGCACAAAGATCAGTTATCTACTGTGCTGTCAAATATGTGGATACAGCACATGTATCTAGTAAAAGAATTGTATGAAAAAAGAATCCCATCTAGACCAGAAGAGCACAAACATTCATTCACTATAATTCAACCCCTGAAAGCACTGCAGGATTCCAGACCCCTCCAAACAGAGACACTGAAGTTTTCAATGGAGTAAGTATAGCCATTGTTCTAACGCTACTTCTTATCCAACTGTTATATTAATAAACATGGCACTATTTTTACCTTGAATAATGCATGGCTTGGTGGCCTGCAATATTAAAATAGAAATTTGTTGTGTGTTTCATCTCATTGGTCTCTCCAGTGGCCTCAATCCAGTGTCCTATTGGGAGACAGTAAACACCATCCACCAAGTTATTTTCATTGTAAGTACAGCAACGATCATGGTGAGGCCCATTGCCTACAAGAAGAAATGACAAACAGATCAATTAAATCAGTGTTTTGCTTAAACAACCTCAAACTGGCTGATACAAAATTAATAAATGGTAAATATCAACATAAAGCTGCTTTATCTATACATTTTAATATGAACATAACTACAGTAAGAAAATAGTAGGAATCTGCAGAGTCCTTTTGAGTATATGATGTGCTAAAAACACCGTATTAACTCTTTCAGAACTTAATAGCATCTTTTATTGCCCTAAGAGCCCATTATGAACCATTTTACACCCAAGTACCTGCTGAAAGAGGTTTTAAAGCCATTGATGTCACTGTACTCCATAATTTTATCATTCTGGTATGCAAATTTGTAACTAAAATCACTAATAAAGTATCAGCATCAACTTCAATAATAAATACACTAATACATTAATAAATAATAAAATAAATGTTTACATCTAATATAAATGCAGGTAAAATGGGGGGTTTTATTACTTATAGATAAGGAAACTAAGTCTCACAGAGATTAACTGGCTTTCTGACTATCAAGTACAGAGCTAGTAGTAACCTGACTCCCTTGGTCTCTGACCTTTCAGGCAGCTGATACCTTCATGCCCCTCTCTGCCTACATCAGATGACCAAAGACATACCACTTCCTTCCTTTCTTCCTTCTTTGAAAGCATAACTTGCCATGCTTCACAATTCAGCTGAGTAGCAACTACATTAGTTGCGATCGTCTAGATGTTGTGTGTTCCCCAAACTCCTATGCTGACACCAGAATCCACAAGGTATTGGTATTAGGAAATGCAGCTTTTGGGAAATGATTAGGTCAGGGGGTCAGAATTCTCATGATGGGGTTAGTGTCCTTATAAAAGAGCCCCAAGAGAGACTCCTCAGTCTCTTCTACCACGTGAGGACACAGAAGCAGGTGCCATCTACAAGCACAAAAGTGAGTGCCCTCGCCAGCCACTGAATCTGCTGGTGACGAGCTTGGACTTTTCCACCTCCAGGGTTATGAGAAGTGAATTTCTGTTCTTTTAAGCCACTGAATCTGTGATATTTTGTTATAACAGTCCAAATGTTCTATGACACTAGGGACCCTTGATTTCCATGAACAGTAGAATTCATAATTATTTTTACTAAGCTTTCTTAAGTAACTGATCATCTCATCTCAGATCATTCTTTATATCACCTAGATTATACTGTAAGGAAAATATATAAGCAAAATAAATTGCATTTCTTATAAATACAAAAGTTCAACTCATTTGCTACTTGCTCTGTGTTCCAAAATATTTAACCTAAAGCTGCTTGGTAAAAAATCTAAGAAAAGTCCATAATTTTGGGTAACTGTCCAGAATATGACTTCCTTCTGTCCACTAGAAGGCATAAGATGACTCTCTCAATAAATCATGACTGATCTTTGTAGATCAGACTCCTCTCTTTTCTCTTGATGGCTATCAGGCACTAAAACCACCTCTCCATAAACCTTGATGTTCAATAAATGACTGCTGAACTATACAAGCAATCCAACTTTTACAAATATATCCAACAGAAACATTGATGACTAAAGGTATATACAAAAATATATATATGTACACTAATGCTATTTTAATAGCAAATACTGTAAACTATGCAATTCCTTCTTTCATAAATATTTATTCAGACAGGTACTATGTCTGGTTATGTTAAATATTTAGGTATTTACCATAAGAGCAAGTTTAACATTCTGAAATATTTTAGGCAGGTATATAACATAACTAGACTTTTATTTGGAAAAAAAAACTGTTCATAGAGCAAAAAATTAATTCAAGAATAATAAGGTAGGACTAAAGAGTCCATTTAAGAAAATATTCCATCAGCCTAGATAAATGATAATGAAAGCTTTCATTGAGAAGGAAAGGATTAGGTGGATTTCAAAGGGAAAAACCAAGGACTTGGTGAATAATCACACACAGAAGTGAAGAGGAAAGGGAATCAACAATGACTCTTAATCTTCTCATGAATATAACTCAATAAGAGTGGTACTATTTACTGACAGACAAAATCTGAAATTGATGTTAGCATATGGGTTGAGTGCTATTTAGTTATCCAAACATGTCAAATACAGTTGGAATTATTGGTTTGACACCCAGACCAGAGGCCTAAACTAAAAATGAATAAATAAATAAATAAATAAATAAACAAACAGTCATCTGTTTGGTATATATATGGTAATTTTGGTATACATATGGTCTATAAATGGTAATTTAGATAAGGATCTAGATGAATCAAGAAGAAAAACACTAATTGAGAAGAAAAGAGTACAAAGCCGAGTTTGAAATCATTTCTATATTTAACAGTTCAATCGAGAAGATTGCTCCTACTACAGTGTTTAGAAGGACAAGCTAGAGAGGAAACGTAGAGGCAACTGAGAAGGCAGAGCATGACTAGAAATGTAAACCCTGAATAAACGCTGGCTGGATGCAAGTTTGACATTGACAGTGGTCACATCTGGAACATAGAACTGGATGGAGGGAAACTATTTTACTCTAAACTATTTTAAACAGATTGGATTTTTTAGAAAGAATGTGTTAATACAAGAATATATTAATCTTAATATATAATATTTAATTTGTTTAGTAAAAGAATATGTGACATACTGGTCAGTACAATATACTTACAACAGTTTAAAAAATGTTACCTCTTAAATAAGCACAGTTGCGTTTGTTTTTTGTTTTGTTTTGTTTTGTTTTTTTTCTGCTGTTTTTTTTCTCTGGTACCAGGAATCAAACTCACGACCTTCTGCTTGCCAGGCAGGTGCTGTGCCGCTGAGCTAAACCCCCAGCCCCTAAAAAGCAGCTATTAAGGACCACAAATACACATAAATTATAATGTTCCAGAGAAACTTTTAACCATCATCATCATCTTTCTGAGAATTCTTCATTGTTAGAATTGGTTTTTGAATGTTCATTTCACAGAAGTTTTCATTTATAGCAACCCATGCAAACTATTTTATACTAAAGTGACTTTTAGACAGTGGGTCACTGTCTTTTGAAGTTAGCATAAAGAAATAGCAAAGATGAATACAGTAATAAAATCAAACCTGTTTAAGGGGATTTCTCCACCAGGACTATAAAGTAAATGTACCTTTCTCTTTTTTTTACAGTATAACTAAGAATAATGGACAGTAGTAAAAACACACACGAGGTAATTTTGAAAAACAAAGAGAAGAAAGGAAATGATCCCAGGGATACTGAAACCTAAGGAACAACACAATAGTAAATTCTCTGAAGTTTTATTTGGATTTTGCCTTATACACACCAGAACTGGATCGAAAAACCAGCAACCTGTAAGTCTTATAGGAGCAGACAAATGAAAACAAAACAAAACTGCAGAAGAAAAGGAAAGAAGCAGCCCAGCAAAACAGTAATAACTACTCTCTTTCAGTCAAATACCATTAGCAAAATATGGCCCTGCAAACATCTGCACCAGCAAAAGCCATGTGTAGAGCCTAGATTCCGTGCTTACCAGACTGTAAAGAAGCATTCAACCCACTCACTCACTAGCGTAGCTCCAGGGAAGGTCAAGTAGGGGACAGAGACTTTCAGCATGCCTTGGAATTTGAAAAGAATGAAATAACTATACGCTGTTTAGCAGAAGCTCACTTCAAATTCTATAGGGAGGTAGAAATTAAAGGATAGAAAAATATATAATACAGACATTAATAAAAAAGGGATAGTTACACTAATATCATATAAGGTAGACTTCAGAACAAAGAAAATTACTAGAGAGAGGGAAATTATATGATGTCAAAAGTATCAAGCTGGGCATGGCAGCACACACTTATAACAGAGCATTTGGGAGGTTGAGGCAGGAGGATTGCAAATTCAAAGCCAGCCTGGGCTATATATTGAGTTCAAGACCAGCCTGGATTACTCAGCAAGATTCTGTCAAAAAAGAAAAAAAAAGTATCAATCTACCAAAAAGATATAGCAATTTAAATGTATTATACCAAGTAATAAAAACAAAATATGTAAAACAAAAACAAGAGAAGTGAAAGGTGCAAAACAAATTTAAAAATTATAGTTGTATACTTAAACATCTCACACTAAACAACTGATAGATCAACTAGACAGTAAATCAGCATAACTGTGTTGTTGTAACTCAATAACACCATCAACCAACAGTATCTAATTAAGATGTGTAAAACATACATACCCACTAAACAGCAGAAAGCATATGTCCAATTGTACATGTACCAAGATAGACCACATCCTGGACTATAAGGCAATCTCAAAGTTTTTGAAGGTTTATATCATACAGAGTATGTTTTATCACCTCAGTGGAACCAAACAAGAAATTAATAATAGGTAATAGAAAAATATTAAAGTATTTCAAAACAAAACCATACACTTCTGTATAATCTATGAATCAGAAAGTCTCAAAAGAAATAAAAATACACTGAAATGAATGGGAACTTGAATACAACTTCTTTAAAGTAGTGGGATACATATAAGCAGAGCTGAGAGTAAAATTTATAGCAATAAATGCATACAGTACAAAAGAGGAAAATTTTTAAATAGATAATCTAAGTTTCAACCTCATTAAATTCTCCCTAGGGCCTTTTTCAAATAAATGAAAAGTCAGAAATTCTCAGCTAAGGAATAAAAGATACAGAGAAGAAACAAGTAGAGATTTTAGAAGTGAAAAATGTAATAATTGAAATAAAAAATCAATTAATGGCTCAACAGCAAAATGGGAGAGACAGAGGAATTAGTAAACTTCAAGGCAGATTCATTGAAATTTCTCCCTCTACACAGGGAAAAATAGAATGGAGATGAAAACTTAAAAAATAAAAATAATAAGGTCTGAGAACTTGTACTAGAATAACAAAGGACCTAGTATCCATGTATGTAATTGGAGTCATAGAAGGAGAAGAAAAGAATGGGGCAAAGAAATACTTTAGGAAACAATGCCTGAAGACTTCAAATTTGAACAAAGGCAAAACAGGATAAATCTAAATAAGTTCACACCAAGTCAATTGAAAATAGCAGGAGAAAAATAATAAGACAGAAACAATTCTTTTTTATTTTTTTTTTAATTTTTTATTTTAAAGAATAAAAGAAGGATAACATAATAATAGGGGGGACTTAGCAAATTACAGACAAAATGGTAGGAAATTATCAATGGTTATCGTTTTACGTATTATTATCTATAAAATAGTTTCTCAGGAAAACAAATAGACAAATAATAGTAAGTTAGAGACAAAAGAGGTAGGAGATTATCAAGAGTTGTTATGCTATACTTTGGTATCTTCTATACATGAGTGATCTATTGAAAAATCATTAACTATTCTCAATGGTTGTTGTAGGAAACACATAATAATAAACATACATTATGAAACAGGATAGGAACATTCCAAACTTAACTCAGTTATGGATAGATTAGTAGGAAAATATCAATGGCTGCTGTAGTATGTGGTGGTATCTTCAAAGTGGTTTCTCAGGAAGACAGAGATATGCAAGAAGGATCTAATAAGTAGTTACAGCCTAAGGGTTGTCAAAAATAGCATATTACCTCCTCACCAGTGACTCCTTTCACTGAGGTATGATGGCTGGAAGGAAGGCCAGGATTGAAAAGAAGGACCGAGAGACTTGCACCTGTGACTAGCGACAGGCTGTTTTCTTGTTCCTCCATAGTCATGATTACCCAGG